AAAGTCTGTTTTCGACTGCTTACAATAATGCATGCAAATGCTTAATTGCCTACACTTCATTACATGCAAGTCCTTGCAGAACTGAGTTTTACTTGAAGATGACAAAGAGGAAGCAATGAGTGACAGATGAACAGTTCAACAATAGGGATTACAGTCACGAGCAAAAGTTTCTACAGGCAAAGCATATAGCAAGCCCTAGACAGAGGGTCACCCCCCCACCATTCTTCCAAAGCATTTAGATGCAACAGAAAGTTAAGTGAAACACCACCCTTTCTGTAGTTTAAAATATTGTTCTTCAAAGCACTGTATTTGAGAAAGCAGAAAATAGCATATTAACTCACTCCGTCCAAGGTTGCACTTCCTATCCAATTCTCCAAGCCCATCCTTATGGGTGGCCATGTGAGCCCATGTAGGTAGGACTCAAGAAGAGTGGCTCCTGGTGAGCTCAGAGGTACATCTAGGAAGATCATCTTGCAGGAGCTGGCCTGTGTTTGTATATATTGTTTGCATCAGTCTTGCATAGCAATAAACATAAGCCAGAGCTTTTAAGAGCTAGTAGCATATTTGAAGAGTCACAAGACCTGGCAGAGGATGTAACAGTACACCTCTTAATCTCACTGCTTTCAAGAAATGATCAAGTTTACAAGGTTCCCTTCAAGATAGGAATAATGAGAACCCCAAGACTTCAGAATAGTTTTATCACTTCATGAGGAAGAAGTTTCACACAAACTCTGCAAGGAGACCAACATCCAAGTTCTGCCTCCCTCCAACCCTCCTCCTAGCGCAGCGGTGAGGAACACAGAAGGGTTTGAGAAAAAATTGCTGTTCACTTCAGCTACAACAAGCCCAGTGTCTTTTTTTATTACTGTTTATTTTTTGCCTTTTCATGAGATCAGCAGGGATATTATTGGAAACAGTAATTCTATAAATGAACACAGCCAGCCTGTGCATTAAAACTCTGACTATTTCCAAAGAGACATCCAGGCAGTTTTCAAAGGCAGTACTACCACCAGCATACTGCTTAGAGTCCATGGGACCAAACTAAATACATGAGATGGAGCGTGGAAGGGTACCTATATAGTTAAGAACTATATAAGAATTTTCAGTTCAAGCCAATTCTACAGCCTATAGGCAGAATAAACACTGGCACTCACACAAAAAAGTAGCCTACTTGTGTCTAACTCAGAGCAAACACCTATGCTGAAATTAAACAGGCTAAACACATATGCTTAGCTCATCCCTATCAAACTAGTTTCAAAATTAAGAAATTATGCAAGCATACATGTATTTTATTAATTTCACACAGATCTACAGCCTTCATTACAGCTGTATTAAGGGAAAAATATAACAATATGTAGGAATTCTGCACTAAAATATCTTTCTGCTCCTTCAAGTACAGTCCTTCATGACTTCTCTTTGCTCTTTCTTCAAGTAGAATAGAAATCAAGGTAACCTTGCACAGGCCTAACACTACATTCCAGCTATATTCTAACATTATACCCTGGTTCTCACCACAGCCCTTTTAAATCTAGTAGATACATGCTACTTGATATGCTTACTTTGAGCTAGATGCAGTAAATCCAGAACAGCTTGTTCTCCCCCCCAAGAATAAAGTGGACCAAGCTGAATATAGGTAGAACATCAGCTCACAAGGAGATTCTTCATCAGTGCACACACACAAAACACTTAACAACACTACCCAACAAAAATAAGTTTTGCAGTTTTGGAACCAAACATATTTTCAGCAGTGAGATGAGTTCCACATTTCCAGGTTCTAAGTTAATTGAGTAGCTTTCCCTCCCCCACCCTCAAGGGAATAAAAAAGCTTACCTCATAGGTTCACCATTAATAACTCCCCTCTTATTCAGCAGCTGGACAAGTAGACCAAAAGACAATCCAGGAAGAGATTTAAGACAAGCTTTTTCCACTACTACTTTATAAACACCACAGCTCTAAACTGCACAGTGCTACCCTACTGCTGTAAAAACTCAGGCCCTAAGAAACACTCATATATGACTGCAGCCAGCACATCCAGAAGTTCTGCTACTTAAATAAAAATAAGTCTACCTCAAGAAGTCAATAGAAACCAATTTCAAACAACCACTCAAAGAAATAAAGCCAAAAAAAAAACTATAGAGCAACACACTATTTTGACAAGCATTGCTAAACTCCATGTGCAAACTTGGAAGGTTTTGATTAAGGCTACCACACTGCAGAAAAACCACGAGGAAGGAGACCTCAGTGAAACCCGCCTTCAACCCCCAGGAAGAGGGCTCCGATAGCAGAAAGTGGCTCCTCAGGGATTACCTGCGGCCTCCCGCTGCCTGCCGCCCACCGCTACCGCCGAGTGCCGCAAG